TTAGATATCGGATAGATGCTGTTGCATACTTCGGTCGTGACATTGTGAACGGGTGTTCGGACCGTAGCGGAAGTGAATGAATTGGAGTGAGGACTGAAATCCACTAAGACGGACGTAAATATTCTGGAGTGAGGACTGGGAATGATCTCCCTTTCTCGGTCTACCGCTTCGGCTCGATGTTCGATGAGCGAGAGTGACTTATTCCAGTTCTGTGTAGTTGCTTTGAGTAGGTTCTTAGGAGTGCCGATTCAAATGTAAACTATCATACAGTACCGCCCTGTCTTGTTATTGTGTTGTTTAGTTTCTTATTTGCTGTTTGTAGTCTCCCGGTACACAGCCGTTTTTGCTTTTGCTTCTAACATGATATTAAATGAGATCTTGAAGTGTGACCACTTAAATGGAAGCCGGCGGGAATAATTCGCCTGTGCCGCTGTGAAGTAACCGATACGAAATATGGGAAGAAATATGAAAAGAAGGCGCTTCTTGGTTCCTCGAGTTATTTTCCTCTTTGGAAAGCCACACTCGCTTACTACTCACAAGGAAAAACAACGAATTATTATGAGTTGGAAACAACGCAGCACCAGAAATAAGGAAAAAGGTTTTGTAACAAAGAGACAATGCAATCCCATCTTGCAGGTTGACGTTTTATAATGTTCTTTTTTTCTTTTTATGTCTGACAACTCTGCTCTTATGACCGGTCTCCATCAGGCTGCCACGTACGGCAACAATAGCAGGAGAATTTTGAGAACAATAGTACAAATAACTGCAAAAACAATCACCGCACGTTTCTTGTACATTCCGGTTGATTTCTTTACCGCTGTGTCTGCTCAAGTGCAACGTAGTTACTTTTACCGAGATCATCACGATCTTCAGCTTAATGTTCCTATGAGTTTCCCCCTTCTCCTTACAAATGTCTGTTCAACTTGTCCAAATCCTCTCTATTTTTAAAGACAATCTAAGTACGTTTTAGGGGGTCTACTGGTCCTCGTTTTACACGGGTTGGCGTTCCTAGACAAGCTCGTTTTTGTGTCTGTAGCGATGTCCCGCAAGATTGATTCTTCTTCATCTGATTCCATATGAAATGAGGAAATGTGAGTATGGACACGGTCTGTGACTCACGTTAGAAAATGCCGTTCTTTTTTCTAGTTGGACCATAACCTCTCTCCATTCTTGACAGCTTCATGTCTGGCTAACTTAACGACTTTAAAAGTGTTCGAAAGCTTCTCCATCGTACTGACCTTTCCTTAAACGTCTTCTCGGTCTTCTTTTGAGTCTTTGTTTTTCTCGTTTGCTCACTGAATGTGTAAAACAAGTCAGAGTTACTCTTTTTTTCAGTAAGTTTCCTTTATAGTATTGTAATTAAGATCAGAAACAGAAAAAAACACCTGTCGTTTTATCAAGAAATTTTAATGTGTCTAAGCACTTACGCGGCGCGCCGTGCTGATTTTTGCACAGACGGAAAAACGTTAAGTCGTGAGTGAGTCCTTCAGCAGCCGGAAAAACGGAATCCATGTCCGCGGTTGAGATTTCGAGGCTTTGTGACATCTTTTGCGTTCAGGCTTTATGCGATGATTTTCTTCTTGAGGCGTTTTCAAACAATAATGAAGACGCGTGCCGCTCGCAAGCAGTTTGGATAAATATAGGCTATGAACACGATCATTATCATCGTTATTCTCTTATTGTTTTTGTTATTATTATTATTATTAACTGCATTTAATTTTGTATAATACTCTCTTAAAAACAAAACCCACCATTTCAAAGTATTGCTGAAAAGGTTTCATTTGAATGGTCACACCATTCGATTTTGCCCACAGTCCACTAAAGACGACATTGTGGGTTTTAATAATTAAGTGACTCAAGCCGTGAAAGGGTAAAGATTGAATGTTGCTTTTTGTACTTGTACTCCGATATTGTTGGGAAAGCCACTCAATACAACTTTCGAACCAACACCTTTCGCTTCCAAACGCGCTCAAAGGCTCACCGCCCGCTAAATGGTGCTGGCAGCTGAGGGTTGAGTTTTTCTGTTCAGTGAAGGAAAACCATTTACGAGCATCTGCCGTAATCTGCCGCTTTTAAGCCCTGGGATTATACGTGTTATAACAGGTTTGAGGGGCCTATCAGGGGCACCCAACGACTGTTTTCTGTGAAATATCTGCTCGGAGAAGCAAATATCGCCTAGAACTTTCCGGTACTGAGGTCGGCTAAAAATTTCTAGATGTCCGTTTCACTCATGTACAATTTTCGAAGGCTTATCTAATAAATTCCTACGATGTTCTGAAGTTTACTTTTCCCTTTTCACTTCCCAAGTTAGGCTATTTTTCGTCGAGTGAAAGGAAACCTAAAGTTTTCGGATTCAAAAACACAATGGAGAGAGAAGTCAGAAAATGTCTCACTTTCGTAACACGTCAAATTGTATCTAAAATTTTCGGGAAAATAATACTCAAGCCCTTGTAATTTGGAAAAGACTCACATTTCCCCTAGGGTGACCGAACTGATACAAATTTTATAGCGACGCTTAGAATGCATTTCTAGACATCTAAAAGTACTCAGGATAGCCTAAAAAGTGTTATCAATGTATTTAGGAGGAGACCGTCGTTGGGTGCCCCAGGGGGCTTGTGACCGGAACAGGAAAAGCGCTTCGAAACAGACCGCTGTAGCAGTCACTGAGCAGTGCTGATCAAAATACGTTTTGCAGTTATTGGTTTTAATGAAGGTGTTTGTGAGAGATTAATCCGAGCGGTTCGCTGATCCTGAGCACAATTTACTTGCTTTTGAGTGACAAAACTCTCCGTAAAATAGTACTGGATGTCGTTCGCGCCCACAAAAATAGGGACTGTTATGCAGTCTATTAACTACAAGAGTTCATCATTTACTCTGGGGTTGAAAGTGTTAATAACTGTGTTTTTTTTTTTTATAAAGAATGGGTAATGCTTTTCTGGCTGGTGTGTGCTATATGCCCTCTTGGTACTGTCCACCAAATAACAGACGGTTTTAGGTATTACAGTTAGCAGGATTTAACATGACTTTAAAGAGAACACGGGTTAATTTGTTAAACAAAGATTATCTTAAGGAAAATGGGAATGAAATTACAGTCCTCTGATTTTTTTTCTTTTTTTAATAATGAAGTTTCCAATGCCATGTTTTATTTGTTTTGAATCTTGTTCTCATTATATTGTGATGGCGCTTTCATCTTTGTGTACACGCTATTTTATTTCTCCACTTAAACTGGTGGCTGATGTCATCTTTGACTGGGGCACCTGTTTCGCGAGGCTTGCCCGTTAACAAAAAAAAAAAACAAGGACAAAAGAAACGCGCTTCGTGATTGATGGAACTCGTATCCACAAACGACATAACCATGGAACAGGGTTTTGACACCACTCGAAATGATCTTGAATCGTGGCAAGTCGGAGGAGGGCTTCTTTAAGAAAGTACCGCCCCAATGGTTTGTGTTCTCTTCGAGCACTTTGACATAATTTCTATCCCTCTCGTATTGAGTCCAGTCTCAATTACCTCTGTTGATAATTATAGGGACGGTTAGTTTCAATCCAAAGAAAATTATTTCAAAGGGAGGGAATCTTGGCGTTAGAAGTANTTGTGTACACGCTATTTTATTTCTCCACTTAAACTGGTGGCTGATGTCATCTTTGACTGGGGCACCTGTTTCGCGAGGCTTGCCCGTTAACAAAAAAAAAAAACAAGGACAAAAGAAACGCGCTTCGTGATTGATGGAACTCGTATCCACAAACGACATAACCATGGAACAGGGTTTTGACACCACTCGAAATGATCTTGAATCGTGGCAAGTCGGAGGAGGGCTTCTTTAAGAAAGTACCGCCCCAATGGTTTGTGTTCTCTTCGAGCACTTTGACATAATTTCTATCCCTCTCGTATTGAGTCCAGTCTCAATTACCTCTGTTGATAATTATAGGGACGGTTAGTTTCAATCCAAAGAAAATTATTTCAAAGGGAGGGAATCTTGGCGTTAGAAGTATTTTGCGCGTAAATCTAGTGATTATTTCTTTTGTCGACGTTTTGGATTTGTGTGACTGTCTGGTATAATCTTTTTATTAACGAGAAGTTTTATAAAACTTATTAACCTCTGGATACATTGCCAAAGTAAAAATTAACGGCAAAACGCGGTTTTAGCACTACTTGTTAATCTTAAGCGGCTAAAGCTGTCTTCGGGGTGTAAAGCAATTAGAGGTTGCAAAAATCACAAGATCTTAATCTCACCTCCTTCAAGCTTTTAACTCATTACTATTTGACTCACAGCACAAAAATGAAAAAGTGATATACATTTCTACTGACAATGTATCTCGCAAAGTAGTCATTTCCTTTTTGTTTTATTATTACTACTTGTAATATTATTTACTTCAGTTTATTTTATACTTGCGATTTACGGCAGCGAAAGTGTAAATAAATGCAAGGGAAACGTTGGGGCGAGTATATAAAAGTGTCAGTTTTAAATGGCAGTTAGAATAATCTCAACAGGTCGCTGTATAAGCACGCGTTTCATGGTAAATGTTAACTAATCCTCACCGGTCAACGGAGTTAGTAATTCTAACAAAAAGACTGGTGGCTCTTTCTTTAGCGACACATGAAACCACCCCCGCATGTGCTCGCCTTACCCTCGTGTCTTAATTGAAATCGCGCCCACCGGTTTCAAGTAAGTTGAGGTGATTGGAGCAATTATCATGCAACAGACGTTGGTGCGAGATTCAAACGTTTAATCGTTGTTTGGACTTTGATTTAGTGTACGAATCTGGCTTCTTGCTGGACGGTGACCATAAGCTGCACGCGTTCGCCTTGTGTGTTCCGGAACGCGCGCTATCGTTTTGACAGTTGTTTGAATTATCTCGTTATCCTGGAGGGTTGGCCCGTGGAGGGTTATTTGAATTTTCATTTCGTTTACCCGTGAGCCCTTTAAATACACGTGCATCTATTACGGCTTTATTCATTTGCAACACATCGTAGCAGCCGGCTTTTCAGACTCGACCTCCATGCATCTCATCTCAAGTGAAAAGGAGGACATGAATTGCTTCTCAAGTCTTGATCCGTTATCTACTTCTTTTCCGCAATTAAGCATTCCCCGAGAAAAATTTGAATTTCAATGCTCGCAAGATTTTTTGCCTTCGTTTCCTTTCCCAACCCCACCGACCTCTCCGGTGGAATTCTGCAGCAGCTGCCGAGACGTAACTACAGAGGTGCGATGGCATTCTGCCTTGGGACCTTTAGGGGAGATGAAAGAAACTTCAGAGGATGAACTTGAGGTCGATGACCTTGCGCTTGGCGAATTCGCGCGGGAATTTGGTGGACCGCACGTCAAATCTCCGGCCATTGTCAACGACATAATGTGGAGTGGGGATCGAGTGAAGAGGCCAGATTCTACGACAGATTTCTTAGCTCGATTTAGCCTTTCGTCTGCTTCGCCCTACTTCGAACCGCCAGTCGCTCACACGTTTGTGGAGTCCGAAGATCTCTTTGCCTTCTCGTTGTTGAGTCATTGCCAAGACAGCGAACAAACCGACGATGTTTTTGCCAGATCCGAGAACGGTGGCGTTACCTTTGATTTACCAGTTCAAGATCAGTACACTTCTGACACAGGTATCAGCTAATCTTTTCTTTTTACATATTTTATACATCTTTCTGTAACTATCACTTTTTTAAGCGCGAACTAGTCATGAATAGCGTAGCTTTTTTAATTTTCGTTGCAGGTCGCGAAAGAACATAGCCTCATAACACAAAATATTTACTCGCGAATGAATGGAAATTTCTACTTGATTTGTTGTTATTTTGGCTATTTGTTTTGTCACGTGTCTTAAAGCATTTTCTAATTCCCTTTAATTATCTTAATTTGCATCGCAGTTCAGTTCCTCTGCACGGTAATCATCGATACTTTCTCTCCCATTTATGTCGATTAAGAGCTACCTCGTACATTCATTCTCCAGCCGGACAAAACTCTAAATTGCAACCTTTCAGCTGAAAAGCTTTGCCACTCAGTATATTACAAAATTGTGCTCGAGATCTTTCTTGAATTTGACTTTGGTCACTCTTGGGAGCAAAAGATTTAATCCGTCTCTATTTTGCATTATTATCTCCTAAGAGGAGCTCGAACAATATAATACAACTAAGACAAAGGAGCTCATCCTTGCAATGAATCAGTACCTGCAGTCGGATAACCCATCCAAATGTATTTCTTATTGTTTTCAGAACACGAGGAAACTTGTTTGTTTGTTGTTCAATTTTTATACTTTTCCTTTTTCTAATTCTTTTGCTTTTTATCAAAAGTAGTTGAAAGGATAGGGACTTGTGCATGTTCAGGATACGTAGGGAGCATTTTGCTTACTTCTGTGTTAAAAAAACCCCTGTAAATAATAAGCATGTAAACGTCTTTTGAAGAGGAAAACGTCTGACTAACAGTTTTAAAACGTGCCAAACAATTAAGCCTCAGTTAAATAATAGCTGCCTTTTGAATTAAGTGATAAACGTATTCCGTTTCTTTAAGGAAAACATTGAACTATTTCATGGATTTTGATGCTTCGAGATAAATTTGCGAAAGTTCTATTTGAAACATAACCTCCGATGTTGATGCAGTATAGCCGCTTTGTAGTGATTCCTTCTGTGTGAAGTTTTATGAAGGAAAACTGAGTGAAAAAGCGATACATGCAGCTGCTTTCTATGTGAAACGGGCATCGAAGTTTGTGATATGATTTAGTTGTTTTAACGAGCGAACCGTTCCTTTGTTTCAAAGTATTTTATCAATCGATAGTTGAAACTTTTTTAAAGTATGTTCCAACGCTAAAAAGGCCTAATCGCGTGGCTAACTTTTGCTTATAGTTTAATGCTTTCTTGCTGTGTGAAAGAACTATTGTTTTCCTTGGATCACTGTTAGCCTGTTGCTCGCAAAGAAGCAGTAAGACCGTTTTTTAATCGTTAGGAGAACTCATGTCAGTTTAGGCTTTTGCCTCTTCTAAATCGGTCATCCGATCCTTCAAAACATTTAAACGGCTTTTAGTTCTTAAGCGAAGGTATTTATGAGAAATATTTGGATGTTTTTACCAAAGAAAACCTTTCTTGTTGTTTGACAGATGAGGACGAAATCGATGTTGTAAGCGTCACAGGAGACAAAACAGTGAAACATTCCACCAGTACAAGTCGTGACACCACAAGCAAATTAACGAACGACGGGAATATACCACCAAGGGAACTACGGTCAAGGAAACCCGACAGTGAATCTTTAATGCAGGAAACCGATGAAGGGAATGCTCGCATCTCGCACAACGACCTAGAGCGAAAAAGAAGGAACGATTTACGGAACCGTTTTCAGTGTCTTCGCAAATGCATTCCTTCACTGGAAGAAAGCGAGCGGGCAGCGAAGATTACCATCTTAAGGAGGGCGTCAGAATTAATTCCTACATTGCAGAAAGAGGAAGAGAGATTAATAGCTCTGAAAAACGACGAAAAGAAAAGGAATGCTGAACTTTTAAGTACGCTCATGAAGCTCACAAAGAATAACAGGAGGAGATGATTAAAAAATAATAATAAATACTAGAACTATATGGTATAGAATTTATAGTAAACGCTTTTTGACTTCCAGGCTATTGTTTTTAAGAATCTTTTTTGAAAAAGCTAACTTATAACGAATAATTTTGACATTTGGGTTTTGTTTTTGCCAAATTAACATGCTTAAAGTTTATTTTCTAAACACTCACTTTCAAGTATATTTAGCCTTTTTTGGCCACAATGGTTACATTGTTTTCAAAACATGTTTTAGGTAAATTAACTTTTCGGATATATGTTTTAACTGTAAGGCGTGAACATAACCTATAAAGCTCCTTGGCCCGTTTTACCCGCATTAATTGTTTCTATTTTCCCTTACGCAATGTTCTTGTATAACGTTCAATTTAAACCGTATTCACTGTTATAGGTTACTTAAATGTCGGACTGTAATATACATAAAGCTGAAAGCTGTCATTTGAAATACCTTCAAATGGTGGGCAAGTTAGGGCATATAGTTCAATAATTTTGTTAATGACGATAACTAAACTTCAATTTTCAAAAGCAACGATATTCGATGAACAAAACAAAGGCCAAGCCTTACCACTATAAAGTACAATTTCATACAAGTTGTCATCAACTTATTAAATTATCCGCATGTAGTTTGTTACAATTTTCCCAAATTTTGTCCATCAATTTCCTCGCTTGTATTTGTTTTGTTTTGTTTTGATATTTGAGTCATTTTTATCGGTCCTGAATTCTAAATTTCTTTAAACTGCGTGAAATAGCTCTTTAAATCGTCTCATTAGTCTACATTTATTTTATTATCCTATTGCCTTGGCTTATGTATCAGCTAAATGGATAATAAAGAAAAGAGATCTGAGTGCTATTAACTGACACTTGTGAATTTTGCACCTGTGATTGCTATTAAGGGGGTCCGCTAGTTTAAGCGACAACTTTGAGAAATCCATAACCCAAGACGAGCTTAATCTACAGTTGAAATTTATGGCTTCTTTTGGGGTGCATGAAAGCAAGAGAACGCGCTTAT